CCAACATGTTAAAAAATGGTAAAATTAGGAATAAAAGATAACTGCCCCTTCGGTTATTTTCCTAATGATGTGACCTGTTTAAAGCTTGTGTTTGTGATAAACATACAAAAAAATCCCCACATAAAAAAATAACGCGACCTTGCTATTCACACTCTTATAATCAGTTCGCCCAATCTACAACTGCTTACAGATTACCACGGTCTAATAGTGAAACAGCCTTGGGGTACAAAGTACTTGTGACAAGAAACAGCACCTTGCTTTATTGAATTCCTTGGGAATAGATTATGTGGTTCAGTTTTCAAGTATTTCTTCATCTGTTTTCTCGGTGGCATAATTAGAGTTTCCATGTCGTTTGTTCATATTCTAGCTTAGTCACACCCAAATACCATACAGCTTTCGTTCTATTTCGAGCGTTTTGGTATCGTATTGCGATATTGCAAATCAGTAGAGCCAAAAAAGGGCCAAGATTAAACGCTAATCCGTTATTTGCCGCTAATTTACCGAAGTGTAGATTGGTCAAATTCTCTCATTAAAATTTGCTTTTGCGAAATTTGAAAAAGAAATGAGAGGCGCCGCATGAAAGTATTTAAAAACAGCTTTGATTTGACTGGTCAAACTCCACAAGGTCACCTTACTTCATAAGAAACAGCACCACATGGAAAGAACTCGTTATTAAAAACATATTTCGATAATCGCAAACGCCGGCTTAGTTACGTCAGTAGAACAACATTAAAGAAATTCAACTATGTAATTCTATGTAATTCCCCAATCAATAATGAATTGCAAAATATGATAACAAAAGAATATTTTACCCACAACATCAATAGCATAAATCGTCAGTTTAGAAAACGGAACACAGCATTTGAAAAGAATATTGTAATTTCAACTCCTTCTCTGACCTCCAGACCTCATTATCGTATTAAACGAAAAAACGGAAGACGAGTAATCTATATATGGCATTTTTTACAGCGACAACCCCATATGTAGACGTTTTCTTTTCTGTGAGTTGAGTTTTAAAAGTAAACAAGTATGGCATCTTTACCAGACGGGCTTAACTAATCTCCTTTTCTCTCAGGGGCAGAGCGGAAGGCTAATCTGTTTCCACTCGAGTTGTACCCCTGACTGCGAAAGAGCCATCGTTATCTCTTTAGTTCAACTCAGTCTAAAAATAATCAAACTGAATGAGTATTAGCACCGATTCTTTTTCACTTCGTTTCTTTGTGATTATTAAAACATTTTTCCGAAGAAAAACGCTGTTAAACTGAAATCGTGTTTACGTAATGATGTTAACCCTTGCATTGAGAGGCTAGTGCGGTCAGTGATGAAAGTGTAATTTCCGACCATTCAATATTAGCACATTATCAAACATACAACCTACAAGAAATTAAGAAAGAGATCACAAACGACAAAGTTCTTTGACAATTTAAAACCGATACTCCCGACTCGAAATTAAAGATAAGTTTAGAAATCAGTCAAGAGAATGTGATGTTGATATCGGGGCAAAAAGGGTAAATCGCAGCATTAGCCGAGGCAAACGTTAAAATCAGCTGTCAAACGTTACTTACTTCTGGAATAATTTCTGCCCCGCTTGGACCTCTGGTTTAGCTGCTTCTTTCCACGTCTCTCTGACAAGTATCTTGTCTTCCTCAGTGAGTTCTTTTGGTGAACGCACATGGCTTGTTTCACTGACTGCTTCAGGCATCTTCCGTCCGTTTCAAGCATGGCTCGAGGTTGATCGCGTGTTTCCTAGAGGACTGGGGTTGAGATAATACATGCATTGATGCAACAAAACTTTTCAAATGGTTTTTCAAATGAAAATGAGTTTGATTTGAATGAAAACGCACCTGTAGGCGGAACACATTTTCATATGAATGGTTTTGCACAAAGACTCGTTTAGACCAAGAGAAAAAGGCAATTCGGAAATGGCCTATGATAAATGAATTTTTTTTTGAGCTGTTTCCTCAAAGGGGTGCCCGCTAAAAATTATTATTTCCTTCCCTCTCATGTGGATGTCACACCTTGAAATTTGTATCCGGCTAAACGGGTGGTGCGATCGCCAGATTTCTTTCAATTCAAAAGTTCTATTCATCAACATCAGAAGCATATCACTGTCAGGTACATACACGATCAGAAATTCTCCTTGAAAAAGTAATTTTTCTTTAGCGATCTGCGTTTCAAAACTTAAACAAAAGAACACAATTTCAACTGCTTTTTAATCATTTCTCGTAGTGGAGATATATTTAACAATTATTCACCGAAGAGGAGGTGGATGGTACTTCGCTCACCGCCTCCCAATTAACTAATCAGAACGCGTAAAAAGCACTGTTCACTTGTGTGGTGAATAAAAAGTTGATATATTTGAGAACCCGACAGAGAATTGAAAATACTAGCAGTGCCAATGACACAAAGACAGCTGTGATAGGTATTTATTAATTTCTGGGCTATGTTGTCTTCATCATATGTGGTAAACAAACGCGATTTTTAATTTACGTCCTTTGAAAATTGCTTCAAAGGGAGCCTTGAAAAATAGCAGCTGTACAATTTTCTTCTTCGCAGTAGGCACGCAACTGAGGTTAAAGTAACTGAATATGGTTATGTATTTAACAGATTGCTACAGTTGTAACTAGTGAAAAAAAGGGCTACACTCATTTCTTGGATGAGGTCAAATTTAAATGATGAATAACTCTGTTGATCTCAATCAGAGTTTCGATGTTTTCATCGTTCTGGAAAGAGAACTACAATCCCGAGGAACGCTTACCGTGGTAGTCGATTCACTGGTCTTCCTCGTTTTTGCACTCACAGGTCTGATTGGCAATGTGTGCGTTTGTTTAGCAGTGTACAGAAACCTATCTCTCCGTTCAAAAGCTACTAATGTAGCTGTCGCTGCCCTTGCCATATCCGATGTACTTTCTTGCTCTGTTATGGGGCCTTTCATCCTGTCCGTTCTCACGACGGGCCAATGGTTGTTTGACAAAACAGTCTGCAAGCTCCAAGCATTGGCGATGTACTCTCTTGTCGGCGTGTCTCTGTATCTTATGGCACTTATCGCTGTTAACCGTTACTACTGCGTCGTTAGACCCGAAAAATATCGCGCAATTTTCTCGTGTAAATCTACGTTCATCTTTGTCTTTTCCATATGGCTTGTAGTTTTCGGTACAGTGATCGGCTTCTATTTCTTCAAAATGTTCTCATTTTATTTCCACCCTCTCAAAGCGACCTGTGTGTTGTACGTAGACCCCAAAACTAATTCTGTAATCTTGGCTCACTTGGCGAATTACGCAAGCTCCGCTCTATTGACAATGTTTCCCTTCGCCATTTTCATATCTTCCTACGCGAAGATTTTCCGTCACGTAAGACGTCACCAAATTGATGTCGCTTCGACTCTGCAAAACTGTGCCGAAGATCAAAGGTCAAGTTTACCTTCAAGGGCAGCAGAATTGAAAATGACTCGCGCAATGTTTGTAATTGTATTTGTTTACGTTTTATGTTGGACTCCAGTATTCGTCACTGAAATCGTCATGAACACAGCGTATTCATGGCACCAGATTGACAGAAACTTGGCTTTGGCGTGCACTGGATTGGGTTTATTGAGCAGCGTTATAAATCCTTGGATTATTTCAATTACGAACCGAACATATAGAAAAGAAATTCACAGGATCCTGTGCTGTAAGTCTTTGTGATGCTAATTCTCGGGCTTAAATATATTGCTGCTTTATTAAACACCGCCTTAATTTTTAATGGGGAGTGTTTCCTTGTTTCAAAGTAACATAGTCTGAACAGCAGTTCTGAATGCAGGAAAATAACACGGATATGTTCCTAATGTGGTACAGGCCTTTTTGCCGGCTGAGATATAGATGTAAATGGAAGGGGAAACGGCGAGGAAGTCAGAGGGTTCAAATTTCCAAAAATTTTCTGTGGCGAATGGAACAGCATTTTCAGGAATTTTCGGAAAAGAGGGTAGCCTTGCGAGGTTATACCCAAAGTTTTGATTGATTCACTGGATTGGCTGTGTCCTTTGTGATTGGCTAGAGTGATAAGTTTGGTTTTGATTTTACGATACTCAATTGAGAACCTCTCTAATAAGTTGCCAAAAAAGGGCACTTTCAGTTTGGATTGAGTTTTTAGCACTTTCCGCTATTTACTGTCAATAAAACAGCCTTTCGTCTTTTCGCCACTACATAAATTTCGTCAACTTGCTGTTTATTTAATATTTATTCTTGAGTGAAATAAAAAAAAAAATCCGTGGCGTGTATCATATGTGTACCCTAGAGTCTGTAATATAAAAAATACTGCATTGTGTTTCATTCTTTCAGTTCCGAATCTATAAATAACATGTAAAATCATAATCAAATTTTTTGAATATAGTGTAAAGTCCTGTCTCCTATGAATAATCCTTTCCCGACAGTTTCCTTACAATTCGTCAGACAAATTACTAAAACTGTTTAATTATTCTACAGAAACCACACTACCATGGAATTGAAATGGTTTCTTCGCGTAAGAATTATTTTTCACACCGTCACGACACCGCAAACATCGAGTAAGAGTTCATAGGGGTTCAGCGCATCAACATTCCTACTGGAGCAACCATCATGCTGGTAAAGGTAACTGTCACGTGACTGGAACTGGAGCACGTATTTCCTACGAAAATTAAAGAAAACAATCACCCACGACTAAACACGACGCTGGTTTGAGACTATACTAGAATACACCTTGCTTGGACAATTTTTCTTTCCTGTCCAACCTTATATGCCTTAGGTAAAGTGCCCTTGATCATTTCATGGAGAAACGCGCTGTATAAATTTTTAATATTAAAATTATATTATTACTATCATTATCATTGTCACTGTCACTGCCACTGCCACTGCCACTGTCGCTGTCGCTGCCGCTGCCGCTGTCGCTGTCGCTGTCACTGTCACTGCCACTGCCACTGTCACTGTCACTGTCACTGTCATTGTCACTGTCACTGTCATTGTCATTGTCACTGTCACTGCCACTGTCACTGTCACTGTCACTGTTATTGTCATTGTCACTGTCACTGCCACTGTCACAGTCACTGTCACTGTTATTGTCATTGTCATTATCATTATCATTGTTAAAGATGGCGGTTGTAGATTTTACCACAATGCCCTGCGAACCTAACACAGCCTAAAGGGCACAGAGAAAGCCAATTTTTTTTTTACAATATTCGTCCCTGTTCTAAGGACATTAAGTAGCCTAGGGTTGAAGATTCTATAACGTTTCTGACCGTTTTTACGAACGTTGTTGAGGTTTTCGTGCGCTAAGAACTATGGGTAAATGTACCAGTCTCCATCTTTTTTCCTACGGAGGATTACTACTTAATTTCTGTCATGGGAGGGGTACCTGAACAATCATCGTCGTCATCATCTTCATCCGGGCCCCAAGGATCCTCTTCATCCGGGTCACTATCGATAACACTCTTAATGGCGGCTAGCTGAGCCATTGACAGACTTCCCTTTTTGGCTGAGCTGATGGCCTGGACTTGAGGAGCTTGCATNCATCAACATTCCTACTGGAGCAACCATCATGCTGGTAAAGGTAACAGTCACGTGACTGGAACTGGAGCACGTATTTCCTACGAAAATTAAAGAAAACAATCACCCACGACTAAACACGACACTGGTTTCAGACTATACTAGAACACACCTTGCTTGGACAGTTTTTCTTGCCTGTCCAACCTTACATGCCTTAGGTAAAGTGCCCTTGATCATTTCATGGAGAAACGCGCTGTATAAAATTTTAATGTTAATATTGTATTATTACTATCATTGTCATTGTCACTGTCACTGTCACTGCCACTGTCACTGTCACTGTCATTGTCATTGTCGTTATCATTATCATTATCATTGTTAAAGATGGCGGCTGTAGATTTTACCACAATGCCCTGCGAACCAAACACAGCCTAAAGGGCACAGAGAAAGCCAATTTTTTTTTACAATATTCGTCCCTGTTCTAAGGACATTAAGTAGCCTAGGTTTGAAGATTCTATAACGTTTCTGACCGTTTTTACGAACGTTGTTGAGGTTTTCGTGCGCTAAGAACTATACGTAAATGTGCCAATCTCCATCTTTTTTCCTACGGAGGATTACTATTACTTAATTTCTGTCATGGGATGGGTACCTGAACAATCATCGTGGTCATCATCTTCATCCGGGCCCCAAGGATCCTCTTCATCCGGGTCACTATCTATAACACTCTTAATGGCGGCTTGCTGAGCCATTGACAGACTTCCCTTTTTGGCTGAGCTGATGGCCTGGACTTGAGGAGCTTGCATAGCCTTGTACTGATCCGCTGAAAAGGCCTAAGAAGAAAAAGAATGTCCAAGACTACAGTAAGCATAAAGTTTTCATCATAGAAGGGAAGGAGAACTGCAAGTCGGACGACTTGCAGTTTTGCTCCTTAATGGTTGCCACAGACATCCCTTTTCAAAATTCCCTGACTTTTCCCTGATAAAAATAGCATTTCCCCGACCAAAGAAATCCGAAATGTCAGGTCTAGTAGCGGCTTCTAGCGTGAACTTACAGCTGTCCTTTCCACTCGTTCATTAAGACTGATAACTTTTCAAAAACTTTTCCTTCTTCATTAAGGAAAAATATCGTTCGAGATCACAGTGATCCCACATGTTTTCTTCCATGTACCGTTGCTTGCATCTAAACGTGAACACGTGACGCCGAAACATGCTCTAATTGGGTGTCAAACGTGACATGATTGGTCATCAAACATTTGAAGTTTAGCAGACCATGGCGCGAGCTTTCGCGCTAAAAGTTCAGCACACGAAATGCCAGAAAGATTGATCATTGAAGACTTGTTCAGAGAAATCGACCCTTACCTGTGTCAATATGCATACGCCTTTCGCAAAAGTGGTTTTACTTCTAGTATAACCATGAAAATATATTGGTTTCGCCCGTATTTGTTGATGGTGAACATTTTGAACGCGAAAGGTTGCGTTACGGTCTACTAAACGTCAAACGTTTGATGACCAATCATGCCACATTTTACACCCAGTTAGAGCATGTTTCGGCATCACGCGTTCACGCTTAGATGCAAGCGACGGCATTAAATCATCCGCGTTAAATTATTTCAATTTTCCCTGGCTTTTCTTCAAAATGTCAATTTTCCCTGACTCAAGATAAAATTCCCTCACTTTTCCCTGATCTTGAGGAATTTGTTTTTCTCTGACCATTTCCTGACCAGTGGCAACGCTGTTCATACACAACCTAACACTAGCCCTATGTATCACGTTTACACCTGTATCTGCATAATAAACGTTTTAACCTGAAGCTGGGAGACACTCATGTCCTCGATCACTTCTGGTGGAATAACATCAACCACTTGAGTCTTCAGCTTAGGAATGTCAGCTGTGGATAGCGCCTCTGTAGAGTACAAAACAAAAAAAAAAACAAGGCCGTTAGCAAAATGATCTGACGTGACATTCAACGGTGATCTTGTGTTACCTCTCTTTATGCGTTTGCCAAGCCTAGCAAGAAGTTTCCCGCGCTTTACACCGTTTTCATGTTTCTTCGCCCTTTGTTTCCCGCGCTCAACACCAATTACATGAGTTCCCGCGCTGTTCTCCAGTTGCATTTTTT